CATAAAGTACATATTTTCCGTAGATCTGATATCAATACAACTGAATATACTAAAAACATAGACTACAAAAACTATTGGAATACATCAGAATACAACTAAAAGCTGTATTATATGTAATTTTAATATGTATTGTCAATGCGTATGATTCTAGTGCTTTTGTTAGCATCCTGTTGCCTAAAGTACAGCAGACTTTTGATAAGTTCTGCACTTCTCACTGTTGATATTTTGCTGGATACAATATATGATGTATTCATATATATGCAAATATTTCAGTTGTATGTAACTTATTAATTCAACATTATACATTTGGTAATTCAGGAATATATATTCAAAACTTATATTTCTATTTTTATATGTAGGTGGTACCATCAACTGAATACTTACATACGGTTAACGATGGTGGGAGGAATTATACAGTCTGCCTGTTAGAGAGAAAATGTGGTTGTGGGAGGTTCGAAGTTGATGAATTGCCATGCCCACATGCTTGGGCTGTATTGAAGAGCAAGTTTCTAATGCCAGAAGAATATTGCTCTAACTATTACAAACCAAATACAATTGTAATGACATACGATGTACCAGTGTACCCGCTACTGGACAGAAATGACTGGAATATACCAGAACATGTTGCAAAGGAGGTTGTACTACCACCCAAATGGAAAAGACCTCCTGGAAGGCCAAAGAAGAAGCGAGATAAAACTTTAAGTGAATTGTTGCAGCCGAAAAATCAACATTCATGTAGCATATGTGGTCAGGGAGGACATAACAAGCGAACATGTAGAAATGCTCCACGTAATAAATAGTTAACACTCTGACATGTATTGGTGCTTCAACGATTTGTCAATACTTATGATGACATTGTCAAGTAATAAATTCTCATTGTCAAGTAATATATTCTGAAATGACTTTCGTGAATATTTTCTGAATACATGTAGTTGAAGTATTTTTATACAGTTAAATATATATGAACTATACAGTTGAGTATAATTGAGTATAGATGAGTACTAAAAAATACAACTGGATACAGCTGATGTATTGTTATGAAATAATACAGTTGAGTAGCACTGTTAGTAAATGAATACACCAAAATACAACTGAATATAGCTGAATAATACACTTAAATACAACTAACTACCGCTGAATAATACACTTAAATACAACTGAGTACATCTGAATATAACTGACTACGTACAACCTGTTTAATATATATGAAATTGTGTTCTTTAATATGTATTATCTGAACTTGAAAGATACATCTGAATGAATGCTGCTGAAACAACTGAATACAGCTGAATAATACACTTAAATACAACTAACTACTGCTGAATAATACACTTAAATACAACTGAGTACATCTGAATATAACTGACTACGTACAACCTGTTTAATACATATGAAATTGTGTTCTTTAATATGTATTATCTGAACTTGAAAGATACATTTGAATGAATGCTGTTGAATACAACTGAATAATACACTTAAATACAACTAACTACTACTGAATAATACACTTAAATACAACTGAGTACATCTGAATCTAACTACGTACAGCCTGTTTAATAAATTTGAAATTGTGTTCTTTAATATGTATTATCTGAACTTGAAAGATACATCTGAATGAATGCTGCTGAATACAACTGAAAACAGTTAAATACAATTGAATATAACTGAAACCAGAAAAAAATACAGCTGAGTTCTTTTATATAACCTACCATCAGCATACATAAAGTTTCTGACTTTGACATTGACATGTTCATTAACTAAAACCTGTTCAAGCAAAGTTACTTGGTATTAATACATACTTGACTCCTGTAAAATAAATATGTATTCAAAATGAAGAATAAGAATGAATACTTATGAACAAACCAGTGAAACAGTGATTGAAAAGTTGCAATTATCATACACGAACACTGTTGATAAAGTGATAAGTGTTTCAAACTAAATACCATCTAGACCAAAAACTACTCAAAACAGTATTCTTCTTGAAACTACACTATCTGCATCTTTGAATCTGACTCTAACATTATAATAACCTAAAGCTACGCTAACACTATCTGCATCTTTGAATCTGACTCCGTGATTTGCCTAGCAATCTTTGAAGGTGCGTCATTCTCGCTTATGGCATCAGCGTCTATCTTACGCATAGCATAGTCCCAGAGGAGAGCACCATATCTTTAACGGAGTAGAGTGGAATAAAATGTTGTTTGTGGAATCTCTCCAAGAGTGCTCAGAAACTCTGCATATGCTGCAACATGCACCCCACAATCCCTAAAAAATAATTGATTAAAACAATTAAAAATAATTCATACAGTTAGATTTGTACATAACATACAATATTGATGATTGAATACTTACATGCTCCCAGCTTTCTGTTGAGGCAGATCTGAAATAAATAAAACTTCAAAGGGATCATTATGTGACTTGTCAGTGTATGCTGAGTAAGCAGACCAATCTATGCCTTGACTATCTCTGTAAAAGCCACTGATTGATAGATACAGAGGTACAAGCTTAGCTAGTTTATCAATCTCAGAAACTACATAAGCATCATGACCTGCAAATCTGTACGAGTCATACACTTTGATACATCTCTCCTTGAATGAGACAACAACCAATACCCAGTGTAGTTTGTCCTTCAAGTTGACTGGTATCATGACATTATCCACAGTATGCCAAGGTACATTAGCATGCAATCTGTAGCATCTTATGTACTCACATACCACATCCTCTTCTTTGGCTACATTAGCATTACTATCTGTATCAGCATACCTGTCGAATATTTCAGTGATTCTTGTCTTGAATATACAATCAACAGTTGTATACTTGAAGTTGCTTGTTTGATTGTACTTTCCCTTCTTTCTCAAATAGTAGAATATGACGTCAATATGCTATACACAAAAGAGGTAAGTACATGGTGTGAGTCCAATTAAT